CGCGATCCATAGCACGAGAAGCCACGACAGTGAGAAGCCCACACACTGCACTGAAGAATAGCTCCTGCTTCCTGCCAACTAGAGAAAGCCCGTGAACAGCAATGAAGACCCAACACAGCCAAAAATGAAAACAAATAAATTAATTAATTAAAGAAAAGAACCCTAAAAAATAAAACAAAAACAACACAAGACAGGCCTTGTCCTAATATTAAAGACCACCAAAGATAAGGTACATGCCCTAGGGCTAAAGACAGTACCAAAAGATGGATGTCCTGTCAAAGTGTACATCGAAGCCTCCAAAAACACAAGTCAGTTAGCTAATTATTTTGCTGCCTCCTACAATAAAAAATAAATGGTCAGAGAAACATAAAAGAATCTAGAGTCTCTACAACAAGTTTTCCATAAAGATTGGCTGGTAATAATTTACTAAATATACAAAGAAGACAAAAAAAGCGATCCATATTGAGGGAAAAAAAAGCCAATTGAAGTGCAAACGACTTGCACATGACTCAGATGTTGGAATTAGCAAACCAGAATTTAAGCATAATTATTATAATTAAGACTTAAAGGAAAAGATAGTCATAATAGGTGACAATTTCAGCAGAGAAATAAAAATTCTAAAACATAAAGCATAATATCTGATGTGAGAAATCCACCTAGTGGGCTTAAAAGCAGATTGGTAAGAGCAAGTAAAAGGGTAAACAAATGTGAAGACAAATTAATTGAAATTATCCAATCTAAATAAGAAAAAAAAGTGAAATTTTAAAAATTATGGAGCATTATTGATCTGTGAGTCAACATCAAGTAGTCTAATAAACATGTATTTAGAGTCCCAAGAGAGGAAAGAGAGAAAGGTATAGATATAATCTTTTTTTTTTTTTTTTGCGGTACGCGGGCCTCTCACTGTTGTGACCTCTCCCGTTGCGGAGCACAGGCTCCGGACGTGCAGGCACAGCGGCCATGGCTCACGGGCCCAGCCACTCCGCGGCATGTAGGATCTTCCCAGAACGGGGCAGGAACCCGTGTCCCCTTCATCGGCAGGCAGACTCTCAACCACTGCGCCACCAGGGAAGCCCTAGATATAATCTTTAAGGAAATAATTGCCTGAATTTTTTTCCAAAATTTGATTTAAAATACACTGTCTGTGAACTCTAACCAATAAAGCAAGAAAAGTAAATAAATAACAGTACAGGAAAGAAAGAAATAAAAGGCCATAAAATCATACATGGGAGACATCCTAGAGAATTTTAGTTTACAACTTGTACAAACAATTCTTCCTATAAAGATATAGTAATCTATAAAGTGAGGGATTTGTATAAGAGGAGACAAATAAATCAATGAAAGAGAAGACTAAAATTAGATTCAACCACATATATGGCCAATTTCTTTTCAACAAAGAACCCAAATAACTCAATGGATAAAAGAAAGTCTCCACAACAAATAGTCCTGGAGTAAGAGGATGTGTGCATAGAGATAATGAATTTTGACCCCTACCAAATGCCATTCACAAAAATTTGTTCCAATATTACAGACCCAAAGAGAAAATTAAAGTTCAAAAACTTCCAAAAGAAATCCTAAGATAATTTATTTGAAAGTTTGTGATAGTCAAATATTTCTTAGAGAAAATACAATGAAAGTAACCATAAAATTTTTAAATGATAAATTAATCTTCAAAATTTAATATTTCTTTTCATGAAAAGTCATCAGGAAGAAAATAAAAAGGCATGCTACAAGCTGAGGGAACACATTTGAAATACATATATTTGACACTGATTTATATCTAGAATCTATAAAGAATTTCAACAAATCAATTAGGCAAACAACTTAATAAAAAATAAGAGTTTGAACAGACAATTAGTTAAAGCAAATGTATCAAGTGTCCAATAAATACATGTAATACTGTTCAACATCATTAGTTATTAGGGAAGTATTACCACCAAAAGATAGCTCTTAACCCACATTAGACTGGGTAAAATTAATGTTAACATTTCATTGTAATCCTATCTGCCAGCCATCCCAAATATCCCTCCCCTGGGAAAACAGTTGGCTACCCACGTGTATTTCTAGAGTCATTTTAGGCATATGTGAACATATAAAACATAGAGTTGTTTTCTTTTTTAACATATAAATATTAGTATACACTATAATCTGTTACGTAACTTGATTTATTTGGAGATCTGTCCATATTAGTACATAAACAGATCACTCATGTTTGTAACTGAAAATAATGTTCCATGTAGAAGCTTCAGTTTAACACTATAAAAATCATCGAATCATATGGTTCAAATCTTCAATACCAAGTAATTATTTTTATATTTCTCTGCTCAAGCATCATCTGATATGTATATGAACAATATGATAGCAAGTTCAAGTTAAACCAAAGGTAACAGATAAAGTTACTACCGTTACTGTATTATCTAAATCAGCTGACACCCAAATACCATCTAATATCTTAAAAAATAATTCCAATATTCCATAGTTACTAAGTTTAAAACATGTATTAAATATTTTTCTAATTACATTTAGCAAACTCACAAGAAAAGTGTATAATTGACTATGGACTGCAGACACTTTAGATGAATGAACAATAAAGAAAAACATTGTCATAAAAATTAAGCAACAGTGTACAGTTTTAAGCAGAATGTTTTGTAACTTTCAAAAAAAGGAAGAGATAGATGCTATTGTTTCTTCCTTGAAGTAACTCAAAACTAAGCAGAAAATTTCATTATAAACTCTTTAGGTCGTTATATGACCTACTTTATCTCTCATTTACAATCTTTCAAAACCATGTTGTTAGTTTTTTTTTTCTTCCTCTTATCCTCATCTGATTGAAGTGAATAAACTTTTCTTCACTTTTAGAAAATCGTACTTCCTTTAGGCCAGATTCCCCTCAGTGAAAAGTGATTTTATGGATGTCAGCAGAAGTGAAATAACTGTAAGAAATCAAACCTCCATCCAGGTATGTACAGGGCTCTTTGGTCAACACTGCCACATCTATGGCTCATATAGTGTTTCTGTGAATGGAGACCCAAGTATGATGCCTGAAATTAAACAGTGCCAAAGTGGCCTAAAGGGGTTAGAGTCACAAAGTGGGTACTTTTCTAGGCTGAAGGCCACTGTTTTCAGTTTTTATTTGTTATTTCTTAATCTAATATGTATTAATCTCTAAAAAGTAGGGCAAAAGCATGATAATATATATTTTTTTCTTTTCAAAAGGTTAAGTCTTCTCCTCACTCCAGCTCTTTATATCACTTGCTCCTCTCTCCAGAAGCAGCCACTGCTACAAATCTCTTGGCTCTACTTCCTGAGTGGTTCTGTTATTAGTAAACAAATGGTAGTATGCTGTCTATAATGATTAATGCAATTAAGTACACAGCTGTAAAAATTTTAGAAATGTACTCACAGCTAATGTATAATTTAAAATTCCAAGAATCAAACCTTAATTTCAGAAGGTATGCTCTTACTTCTGTGCCGCTGAACTGTAGTAACTATACGTGTACAGTACTTGCAAAAGTCTAAAGTACAACACAAGTGAGAGGCTCTAATGCATTGCTTTCAAGTTAGAATGAAGCCACATGGAGCTTCTGAGCTTAAAAGAAATGTCTGACCACTGGCTTTCCTCTACTCCCCATTTACTTCTTAGGATAGAACTCAAGCCCTGGCTCATGGACTTCTCGGAGGGCCACAGGAAAAGGCGAAAGTTACTTAGGCACCATTATTCTGTATCCAGACTAATACCAGACCCAACGCATGGCATGACCTGGAGCAGAGCTGCTACAAAAATGTATTTCTCCTTTAACCCCTCCATGTAAATCATCAGAAAGCTTCCCTCCACTGATTTAAACAAATTTGTCTTTGACCTCTAGAGTCAGAATTGGCCTCAACAGCTCTTTCAGATGGTTGTAGTATTGACTGTTTGATGTATGTCAGCTACCATAAAATGCAATACTATTTCATGACAGATCTTCAAATAATGCCACATACGTCCAAAGTCATGGTAACAGTCTCTTTATTCCAAGTAAATCAGTAGCATGAAATACTGCAGATTAATGAAATAATGCACTTTGTTGTATCAAGCTTTGGCATCTAATGCAGCTGTGATTTGTGGTAGTGTTCAACCAGTTGCAACACCTGTCAGCATGCTTCCTCTAGAACTTCAAAAGGCTTCCGATAAATACCAAATGCTTGAAAGGGTTCTAATGTGCATAAGTAAGAATTTTTCAGGGTCTGTGATTTTTGGTATTTAACAACCAGATCAATATGATAGTTCATAAAACAATCAGTTGCTTAATGATCTATCTGCAAACATTCAAGTCTGACAATTTGAAATACCACAGAAGACCCAAGAAATTATATTTGTTCACTTTTCTGGAAGAAAAAACTTATTGAACACTCTTTAAATAAAACCTAAACTCTAAAACTAGAGAAAGATTTCCAATCAAAAAATATTTAGATAATTTCTTTAAGCATTAAATGTTTTTCAAGGAGTTTTCAAGCAGTCTCCACCGATTGATATATATATGTATATATAAATAAAAATGTATAAACATTATATATATAATATAATTAAATATTGTTCATTATATAACAAGAAATTATATTATACAGATAAATTATTATAACTAGTATATATTAAATATATAAACAAAATATTCACAAATATATACATATATATAAATGTATATCTCTAAATTGAAATGAATTTCAACATCTTTATGTTTAATAAACTGTAATACAGGAAGATATTGTATTGAGTACAGTATTAAAACATTTTGGTACTTAACAGTTCAAAAATTATTTTATTTAATTGAGACCAACTGGCCTCATTGCTTCTTATAAACGTTGCAATATATATTCAGTAAAAAAGAATAAAAATGAACACATGTTTCTCCTTAAAGAAGGCAAACAAAGGTTTTTCTTACACAATAAATCAGCTGCTAGTGGATTTCTAGGACATTGCTTTAGGCTATTTAGGTATAAAACTTAAGGAAAAAAATTACCTTTGTGTGGATCCAAAACTGGTAGAGGAGATTGAACTGAAGATGAACAGCATAGACTGAAGGTGGTATGAAGAGGGCCAGTGGGGAGTAGAATATCTGAAAGATTAAAACATTGTAAATTTGCACATAGGACTTCTCAACATAACATATACTATTACTAATGATTGAATATTTTGAGTCTATCCTTCAGCAAACATGCCTTATTTTTAGCAAATATATCTTATTCTGTACATTTTATTGCCATGTTTGACCTTGCAACATTAATTTTTCCACATGATGATAAAGTTATAGACATGTTGGAGCTAAGTCCACTGGACTTCTATTTCACATTTAATATTGTCTTGTTAACATAGCATACAATGTACGTTATTTCCTTAATCTTGAAAAGGTTGGGTGTATTTCCTGGAAGTAAAGAGGTTTTTTAATATATACAAAAATACTCACTTTCTTTAAGTAAAGGAAACGTAGGAGCATGTGCCTTTATACCTTGACAGCTCCTAAACACTGTATTATTATGGCATTCTGAGTAACGAAATGCAATTATAGTAAAAGACAGTAACTTCATATGAGAAGGGGAAAGAATACATTTTCCCTCTTAAATTTTACTTTATTATTTTGTGGTTGACAATATCTCCTGATTTTTTTTCAAAGTTAGTAAAGAAGGAGCTATGATACTGTGCCATTGTGGAAACAAGTTTTGAAGGTCCCTATTTCCTAACAGACGGAAATGCCTCTGCCTTGGGAAAACAACTTATTCGTAAACCACTGGTTAGAATCAACGAGTAAGCACAATCTGCTGTGTTCTCCCAATGACTTTGATCCCCAAGAGTGGTTTCATGTTGTAAGAAAACTTTCTATTAAATGAAAAACTAAACAACAAAATAGGAAGAAAAAGAATCAGACTTCGACTTTACATTTTGGGGTTTATAAAGTTAATATTTCCAAAAGATGAGATATTCTAAAAACATGCTTTCAGAATACTACAATTTTATTTCTGAATTATTTTAAAGCTTTTGTTCCCAATTAGGCCAAATATCATTTCAACAACGTTTAGTAATGAGGATATATTTGAAAGCAGACATTTCCATAAACTCTTATAGTTTTTGTTTCGAACTTTAAGTCATGAAAAATTTCAGCTGTCATCACAACAGGATCAGTTTCATTATTTATAAATTCATTATTAAGCAATGGATTAGATTAGTGAACAACGAAAGAACACTGGGCTCTTACTCAAGACATTCCCTTTTAAGCCTTCATTCTACTACAGAATGGCTCTGTAATATTTACAAATTTCTTAAACTTCTCTAGGCTCCAGTTTCCTCAAATGACTGGTGAAGGAGAAGACCATCTGAAATCTAGCCGTCTTTTTAGTTCCAAAAAATCTCTAACATTGTGATTTGATTTGAGAATATATTAATATAGTTCTCTTACAATAGGTGAAAAAAATACTTGAAACACATATATGACCAATGATTTAAGTATTTTAAGTTAAGGAATATTTTGGAAACTTTGAGATGTAAATAAAAATATAGAACAAACTTGATGCTTAATAAATAGTTCTCTCTGGAAAAAGAGTTCATACAAGATGACTATTTACAGTTCATTATAATTCCTCAAAGTGTGAAGAAATAGTCCTTTGGGATAACAACAGCTATTATGGAAAACGGTGTTCTATCATCAGATAAACTGTGAAGAGTTGAGGAAGGCAAGTGAACTTTCTTTACCATAGAAATTCTCAGAGACTTTATCATGCTAGTACAAACCACAAGCCTGTTAGCCCATAGAACACTTTCTTAAGGAATTTCCCATAAGATTTCCTAAAAACGTATTTGATGAACCATGTTGTTGAACTGGAAGAATCAGTATTCTAATATGACCATATTACCCAAGGCAATATACAGATTCAATGCAACCTTTATCAAATTATGAATGGTATTTTTCACAAAACTGGAACAAAAAGTTTTTTAATTTGCACAGAAGCACAAAAGACCCCAAATAGCCAAAACAAGCTTAAGAAAGAAGAACGGAGCTGGAGGAACCATGCTGCCTGACTTCAGACTATACTACAAAACTACAGTAATCAAAACGGTATGGTACTGGCACAAAACCAAACACATAGATCAATGGAACAGGTTAGAAAGTCCAGAAATAAACCCACACACTTACAGTCAAATTAGTCTATGACAAAGAAGGTAAGAATACATAATGGAGAAAAGACAGTCTCTTCAATAACTGGTACTGGGAAAACTGGACAGCTACATGTAAAAGAATAAAATTAGAACATTTTCTAACACCATATACAAAAATAATCTTAAAATGGATTAATGACCCAAATGTAAGACTTGATACTATAAAATTCCTAGAGGAAAACACAGGCAGAACACTCTTTGACATAAATTGCAGCAATATTCTTTTGAATCCATCTCCTAGAGTAAACAAAAGCAAAAATAAACAATGGGACCTAATTATACTTAAAAGGTTTTGCAGAGCAAAGGAAACCATAAACAAAAAGATAACATACGGAATGGAAGAAAATATTTGCAAATGATGCTACTGCCAAGGGCTTAATTTCAAAAATATACAAACAGCTCAATATCGAAAAAAAATCAAATCAAAAAATGGGCAGAAACAGACATTTCTCCAAAGAAGACATCCAGATGGCCAACAGGCACCTGAAAAGACGCTCAACATTGCTAATTATTAGAGAAATGCAAATCAAAACTACAATGAGGTACGGCCTCACACCGCTTAGAATGACCATCATAGAAAACTCTAAAACTAATCAGTGCTGAAGAGGGTGTGGAGAAAAGGGAACCCTCCTACTCTGTTGGTGGGAATGTAAAGTGGGGCAGCCACTGTGGAGAACAGTATGGAGGTTCCTTAAAAAGTAAAAATAGAGTTACCATATGATCCGGCAATCCCACTCCTGGGCATATAGCTGAAGAGAACTCTAATTTGAAAGATCCATACACCTCAATGTTCACAGCAGCACTATTTACAGTAGCCAAGACATGGAAGCAACCTAAATGTCCATCGACAGATGAATGGATAAAGAAGATGTGGTATCTTGATACAATGGAATATTACTCAGCCATTAAAAAAGAATGAAATAATGCCATTGGCAGCAACATGGATGGACCTAGAGATTATCATACTAAGTAAAGTAAGTCAGACAGAGAAAGACAAACGTCACATGATATCACTTATATGTGGAACAAAAAATGTGAAACGAATGAATTTATTTACAAAACAGAAATCGACTCATAGGCATGGAAAACAAACATAATTACCAAAGGGAAAGGTGGGAGGGGGTGTGGATAAATTGGGATATTGGGATTAACAGATACACACTACTATATATAAAATAGATAAACAACAAGGATCTACTTTAGCACAGGGAACTATATTTGATATCTTGTAATAACCTATAATGGGGAAGAATGTGGAAAAGTATCTATATATGTGGATATATATATATATGTATATATACACATATGTATATTTAACTGAATCACTTTGCTATATACCTGAAACATTATAAATCAACTATACTTCAATTTTAAAAAATTGATGAAACAATGTCTCAAATCTTACAAATCAGTAAATATAATGATGAACTTACAATTAGAAAAATGAACTCAACATAAATTACAAAAAATAACATTTCTAATAAGAAATAAAGATATATGTCAGGGAGTAAGTCACATGAATCATATTAAAATTAATTTCTTGTGATTAATATAATACTATAAAAAGAGCCTAATGATACAATTAAGGTTCCAATTTCTAAAATTGAAATCAGCTTAGTAAATGTCATCTAGTTCTGAGAATTCTTATCTTCTTCTCTACTTCCAAATCCTACATAGTTTTAAAAACTGGTTTAAATGCCACTTCCATCATAAAGCTTCAGATGGTACTAATTTGTCAGAAGAAATTTTTCCTTCCTCAAACTTAAACTCTCAGTACCTGGGCCAGAGGATATTGTACTGTTTCCCAAATATATCCACTTCTGCCCTGCATTAAAACCCATGTTATTCTGACTCCAAGGCTCTTTTGCCTTAAATTACACTATCTACCTTAGGTCATTTTATTACCTTTTGATAGAGGTCATATATAATAGGGTCATGAAGGAGAGAAACAACACAAATCTGTATGCGTGAGGAGAGAATAAAGATAGGTCTAGAGGTGACCTTAGGCTAATGGGGAGGAGATGAGTGGGTTTTATTCTGTTCATCAAGTAAATGGGGCAGGCAGGGGTTGTATGAGGAAGCATCATGAAGGAAGAAGCAACATGGCCTTGAGGGGGAACCGTGAGTATTCTGGCACTGCAGAAGCCATTAGAGAATGGGCAAGAGATTGGGGGGAACCATGGAATTCATGGATAGATCTTAAGGAGTCTGTGAACCCCCTGGATAGGACTATAATAAAGTGTGAACTTGTATGTATGGGGGAAATGTGTGATTTTCTAAAGAAACAATCTATAGCTTTCATCAGGAAGGCTCTGGGGAATCTGTGGCTCACCACAGCCAAACAAAAACAAAAGATAATTTAGACATTGGTCAAACCAGAGAGGGAGCATTTTAATGCCATCCTAAGGAGATTGGATTTATCCTAGGCCAGGAGGGAGTAGTTAATGTGTGATTTTTAAGCTTGTAAGAAATATAAAAGTGGTATGAAGTCCTATTTGTACAGCCCAGTGAAAAATCATGCACATTCACCACAGCAGCAGCCATGGGAATGGAGAGGCAGAATATATACAAGAGATCAATGGATTTGGTAACTATTTAAACATAGGAAATGAGAGAAACAGATGAGAATTAGAAGACACCCAGATACCTGGCTTGTGTGAAGGGTGATGTTGTTCACCAAGATGATGAATAGGAGGAAGAGTAGATTTATAAAGTTCATCTTAGGGTATATTGTGTTGAAGCCCTTGAGGAATATTCCAAGAAAGCTGTTAAGGAAGCAAATATGTCCTGAAAATATCAACTGGACTAAAAAACGACACTGGATTTGCAGCTGTGGATCAGTGGAGCAGTAGGCCTGGAATGCAAACCTCAGTAAGTTGAAGAATCATTCAAAGGAGGTGATGAAAC